AATGAGTATATATGTATTGTTTGACTTATAATTCTCAGTTGTCACAAGGATATTTGTGTTCTGGCATGTAAGCCATGCCTGTATTTTATATGAAAGTGTTTTAACTTAAAAGCTGATGGTTATAAATCGAGTATAAAAAATTTAGCGGTTCAACGTCCAGATGTATTTCCGTCAGGATGTTGATCTCAGCATGTTCGTTCTGTTAATCCAGGGGAACTGCATTATCCTTTTTTGGCTATTTATTGGTAAAATTTGTATATATTCAAGGATTTCATTAAAGGTTAATTTATATACCTCTTGTTTTACAACGGAGATAATTGGGTGTATTTTATGGACCAAATTTCTAGCCCGTCGTTCTGTCCGAACATATGGTTAACACATGAACATTGAAAGTACAAATGACGGCGTCTTTGAATGATGATTCACATTTAATTAAATTATTGAGTGATCACTAGATTAGACGCAGATCTTTTGAAGTTAAGTAAGCTATGGGTTCTCACTGTGAGGCGTATTAAAAACTCTTGATTTTTAATGCACAGGATATTTGACATCAGTAATATGAAACTGTAAGTTTTTGATGATCTAAGTTTAATTTTACTCATCTTATAGTGAACCTTTTCCATTTGATAATATAATATAAGGGGTAGGTGATACAATCATCTATGCTAAGAATTCAACATTATTATTACTACTACTATTATCGTTATCGTTCTCTGGTTTACCATAGATTATTGCATAGCAAATACGTTTATTAGATATACTTATGAAAATCTTCACCTTGTCCTACGATTCTCTATGGTTCACCGTATTGTTTCGATCTTTTGTCTTCGTTATCTAAAGGTGTAAAAATTCGAACCAATATACATGAAATATAAGTAACTGTAATAACGGCAGAAAAAGTAATTGGTTATGACTTTTTAAAAATGAGTAAATTAACTTTAAAAATTATGTTGGTTTGTTCGGCAAAATTATATCGTTATGTAAAATTATTAGTAGTTCTGTCGTGTGTGCTACTGACGTCGACGGACATATGAAGTATGTATCACCAATCGAAAGTGAAATGCCTGGTGGCAGAAGTTTAAGAAGACCGAAGAAAAGGGGACAAGAATAAAGAATGATTGGTGTGGAGACGAAGGAACAATGAAGTCTGAGATGAGTGATTGAAAATTTACAAATGAAGTATTTAGTGTATGGTTCTCAGAATTTAGTAAGAGATTCTGTAATTGTGTGTACAAATACATTTGGTTGTCATCACCTGTGTTCTCTTTCACTATAGTACTATAAAAGGCAACATTGATGAAGTGACTTTGTAATCAACAACCATATAATATCAGGTTGTAACCAGTCAATAAAAATTATTTTGTAAATAAAGACACATGATACTTCACGTGGGTTTTATTATTTAACTAATCTTTAGCTTACCGAATAGCCACTGTTTCTGCTGGGCCTAAATATGATAAAGATAAGCAGTATACATTGTCAGTAATAAGTGTTAAGACGATGGGAATCGGCTATCATTACTTATATTGTATTAATAATGATGCGGAGACTCAGAGCATTTTATATTATGATTGCACCTTTTAGTACTAGTTGTTAGTTTCCCGTGTCGTAAATGAATAACAACTATCTGATACTGATTGCCTTACATTCAAAGTATCGATATATGTGCCGAGACAATCATAAAACATGGGCCAACAACCAGTTAAAGTTGACGGAATAAGCCGTTAGTGATAAGTGGAGAAATCTGATTAGCTCACCTTATGAAATTTGTCCTATGTTGTCTAGAAAGAAAATCAGAGCTTCACGATCAAATCACCCAGTTAAGTAAACGCAACTTCGCCAAAACGTCATATTCTAGATATGTGGGATCTAGCGACATTATCTAGTTGTTCAAACCGAAGTAGGTGGAACAAAATTTAAAACTAGCCTACCAGTTGAAAACCACATGGTTTCGCCGTTAACACACGTCCCCCACTGACTGACACCCAAAGCTGATATGATTTATATTTTAAGATTGAGACTATTGACACAAATAAATTTACTGCTGTACCTTGTACCTAAGGTGGAGATTCGTCTTCATTTTCAGTTGGAGGAAAAATATTGATGTTCATTTTAGGTTATCTTGTGATAAGTTCATTGTTCAGGTGAACAGTAGCTTGAGAATCGTGTGTACAAACGATCGCAATCATCTGAATAGTGCAAATCAAACACGTCCGAAGCTTCCATCTACAGAGGGGGCCGAAATTCATTGTTTTCGAACATCTACAGTCTTCTCAGCTCTCAAATACTCGATTAGGTCAACAGTCTTTATGAACAGCTACCATTACGTAATAAGTTTTGTCGGAGTCATTTCCCTAGTTTTATCGGAATTCAGTTTAGCTCAACTTTCTCACCAGATAAGCGATACCATAAAATGACATTACTTTCGAGTGATGTGTTCAATCAGTCCTAGGACTTTTCATAAAGTTACTGGGTACAAAAATTGTTTTTCTGTGCATTTTCTAAAATCATACTAAATTTAGATTCTTGAATCAGTAATTTGAAAAACCACTCGTTTCGTTCCACATTTAAAGTTTAGTTTTCTTAAATTTTTAATTCTATCTAGATTTTCAATAAAGTTGACAGCAGCTCAATCAAATAAATCGCCAGAAAATATTACTGTTTGGGATTGTTTGCACTTATGCATTATTGCTCCACCGGTGTTCGAACGTTTATTCTCTCCTAATATTTGTCGTGCTTACGACAGTTTATTTCGATTTCTATTCGCTATCCGTCGAACACAACTGAAATTACAACAGTTTTGGGCTGATCAGATTCTTTTGTGGCGTCGTACCTCTGCTCGTAATCAGTCCAATCTAAATTATGATCAAACACCACCAACCAACGTTTTTATTAAGTTGCAATCCTGTATAGGTCGACGCCTTCTAGTTCGTAGTCATATGGCATTTATTATTGAGAGTTTACAGTATTATTTACAGGTTGGTTTGCTATCATATTTGGGAAAGGGGATCTTCATTGTCATTTTAAAATATACTGGTCGAATATTATTTGTTTCCTATTAGTGTTATGATTATTCACAAAAGTCACTTCTCTTCTATCTGTACTGTTTATGTCTAGGTAATTCAAATTGTTAGTCGTATTCATACACTTTGAAAATGATCAAAATCGTATAAGCATATTGGAAGCAACAGAAGTATAGTAATATTTGATTTGTATTCAGATTACCTGATCAAACCAAGCAATATGTTAATGAATTGAACTAGAACAATTTGTGAATGCGTAATCTGAATAGATATAAGCCTCATAGGATTAATACAATAAAGTGACCAAGCAAATGTAAAACTAGTCAAATATATACAATAAGGTACATAAATAAGAGTCCAAAATTTGTTGTATGGTCTAGCCTATGATCAGAATTTACCAAAAAATGTTTTACCTTTTATGGTGTGGGAAAAGTTCAAATTACCCAGTGTTTTTATTTTTGTTAGCAAATGATATCCTCGTGTGCCATGTCCTCAGTAACATTTTTTCAATTCATATTGACCCACTAATCTTTGGTACTATATCCGACTTGTTGCTTCCTCATTTATTTTGCAACTCTGTTCCAAGGTAATAGTTATTGGTGTATAAGCAGAGTTTTTCTACTGAAATTTTGACGGCTCAGATACCTCATTTCTCTCCAATTGCGTGGGGGATTATCGTTGCGTATTAATTATTTGATCTATCTAGTTCCATTTTCAAATACACTTGATAGTCCAGTATGTAATTTTATTTTTCTCGGTGTAGGAATAGGTTAAATAAAAGCTAGGAGTGACCAAATCAAGGCACGACATCAATCTAAAATGTTCTTGACTTGGATTGAGCCATAGTGTTAGGTCTAAAGTATGTGGTTGGAATTGATGTAACCATTATCGTTAATGGTTAGAGAAGTTAGGTTAAATGGATCAGAATCGTTCAGGAAAGCTAAATGCATTCATTCTTTGTTCTCCATTAGATTTTGAGTTTGAAAATGATATTATCTTTTCTATACTGCGAGTTAATCGTTTTTTTTCTTAAATCATATTGCCAATACTAAATGTTGTCCACTACCAATACACAGTCAATAGTACTAGTAACACTTTTGAGTCATAGTTCTCATTGCACTCATACAAACCGTAATTAATAAAATGAATAAAGAAATAAATGCAAACTGGATTGAATATATTAAATTGGGTTATCCACACGCCTTACGGATGAATCGGCATACAATCCCTGGTACTATTATTATTTTTCCAGAATATCCGCACTTCATTTCTTTCTCTTCCTCACAGGTCGATGTAATTGAAGCACAATTCTCACACTTGATTCATCGTTTACATAGTGATCAAGAAATCCAATTAATTCAAATCGCACATGAAGCTTACCTGGCTGGTTTACAAGCACAAGCATTATTGTTCATGCCAAATATAAAATTATGTATATTACAGTTGTTGAATTATTGCTGTCAATTTGTAGATTTATCAAATCAACAATACTACAATGATCACTTAATGAATATGGATGATGACCATAATCATCAATTGTCTAATGAAGTGCACGAGATGGTGAATAAATTTTATAATCAAGCAAAATTATTGTATGATTTATTAAATATTTCTTGTTTAACCGGTGCTAAAAGTAGTGTTGGTTTCAATCCTGGCCATACTGCTGTTAATGATCGTCGAGACTTCGAATCATTATCGTTACCTGGTATTATTACTACTGCTACTACCAATGGTCCTCTTTATTCAGACAAAACAGATTTAAATCAGTTATTGTTACGGTTAGATTTTAATCATTTTATAGTGATTCATTGGAGAATTTAATCTAATTATTGTTGTCGACTGGTGATAAGTCTGTAGATTGTTTTTTATGTAACTTTTATTTACCCTTTTAAATATTGCATTTATTCATAAAATTATTAATTGATCTCTCTTTATGGGGTCGTATATATGATGCTTGTTAAAAAAAACCATACAAATAGAACACAATTTTATTCCTTTAAACTATTTTTCCTTTCTGAACAATTTTACTGTCGAAAAATATTAGTGTAAATGTCTGTGTATTGTTGAATTTATTCATATAATAGAAGTGATCGCTACATCCACGTGCAACACTGTGCAAGGCGATATATATATATATATATATATATATATATAGTTGACAGTGCATCAACCGACCAACCACACTTCTATTTAACAAACAATTGTTCTTTGTAATAATTTTCAATCGCTTGTAAGAAAGAATTTATTTTTGAAAAAAAAAGAATTGATCGATGAAATAGATTTCTCAAAGGATAAAATCATGACATCTAAGTACTATGATGATGACGGTGTAATAGCTCGATAAAGTGACAATTTACTACAACCACTAAAATAATAAAATAAATTCAAAATCAATAACTTTTGGCAGACGACAAAGTTTGAGAAATAAAAAAAGTCATCATTCATATGGTTAGATATAGAAAGGTACAATTGAAAAAATAAACAAGATTTCTATAAAATATAGTAAGCGTAAACATCATTATCATCATCTATTACAGAGTTGTACACATGCTTCATAAAAATAATGGGTCGTTTTAGGCTATTTTGTTGTCAGTTTTCTTGTGATAAAGAACGGACTCTTCACATTATTTTATTGGCTTTTTAATTAATTACTATAGTCATTATTGTTATCTATCACACAGATTAATGTCAGTTTACAATAAAAAGAAACAACAAAATTAGTTAATAATAGTATGAATCACTGCAACTAACAAGCAATGTAATAATTATGGGATTAATTATATTTTTATGACCAATTCTCCCAATCATCAATCTAAAATTAAATTTAGGTAAAAATAATTATGATCAGATTACTGTCAATATACATATGTATTATTCATTGAACAATTAGTGATAATGAGTGGAATAAAGTAAAATGTTCTAAGCTTTAAATACAAAGTTAAGGACAGGGTAGTTTACCTTATGGATTCAGTTTAACTGAAAAATGATGTGAATCATAACTAACATAAACAAATCGATTAGTGGCGAAACTAAATCGATTATTGAAATGCTCGATGAATGTACTGTTAGTGTAAGGTTTACAGAGATTGTAGGATTTATTGTCGTTAAAATCACTAAATGACCTTAGACAAACATTGGAAACCAAGAAAAAAACACTTGACAACTGTTTTATCCTAGTCCCTTACACGCATTAGTGACAAACTTCGAGCAGTTATTCCCGGAGTTCTAGTGAGAAGCCATGGCCAGCAGATTTCGGTCATGTCGAGTGTTACTTAGAAATGACATTACAAGATGGGTAATATAACGAATAGACTGACGTTACAAATGTAAAACACTAGACACCACTCCAATGGTCTAAATGTTTGTTATAATTTCTGTTATTACGACCTAGCTACTCCTATTGCTTGATATTCTTGGACACTACTTCTCTCGACAAGTCCCCAAATCAGAACACGACTGCACAGGAACGTAATCATATTCCAAATAAAAATGGTTAGTTGGAAATAGGGATCACAATAGGACAAACGTTAGTATATTTATAATTTTTACATAAGAAGATCCTAGAGTCTTCCCCAAGTCTCCGCTAGCGCCGATTGGTTAAGAAATAGCCAACTAGCGTCCTCAACACAATCTTGTAAGGAACATGCTTTGATCCAATCTATATACCTCTAACAATGTTAAAGACCAGTTGGGACACTCGAAGGTCCTCAATTCGATTCCTGGTGGAGTCGTGGATGCACACTACTGAAGATTCTCACACTAATATGAAATACTTAGTTTTCAACAGTTGTCTAAATAACATCAGTTTGTGATGTAAATTTCGATGAACTTAACGATCTCCATAAACTAAATAAACCACAGCTCCACTATTATACTATAACGTTATATAACCAAAGGGCAAATCCAATTACACACACAAACCCGAAAGAAAATTGTAGAAGAACGAATCCAATCTTTAAGAATAATCATAATAACCAACAGAGTAAAACAATTTTTTCGCTTGAAAGAAACGGAATTACAAACCTCATCAGTTAACTGTAGCTCAGAATTCTTAATTGTGACGGCCTTGTCTTTATTATTATTAGTTTCAGTGGACTTCTTATTGGTTTTATCCAGTGAGTAATTTTTACGTTCATTTTCGGAATCACTCCAAGCTTCATCATCTGAAATTACAAATATTACAGACAAAATATATGGAAAAATTTTTCCAAGACTCATTTACCAAGTGTACAAGTTCGTGTAGTTCGCTTTGAGTTACATTCTAAGTATGAGGGATACTGATTATACCCTCGACTGCTTAAACCAAAATGGACAGAGTAAGACACAAACCATTTACGTATTGGTTGAAATTCAAAAACCTTAATTACTGAGCTACCCTAAAAATCTTGGTTTGGTTCAGCCACTCGTTAATATTTTGGACCAACTTCTACATCAACCATCGAGCAACAACCTGTCGTTCTTAAACTTAGTTAATTTAGTCTAAGCGTTGAAGAATTGCGAAAAATGGAACGAACAAAATAACCTGTTAAGATATAACTATGAATAAAGATAATATGATTTTCAAAAGTAGGATACATTACCAGAAATTGATGCCTTATATTCAATAGTAGACCTTTCAGAAGAATGGACGGTTGATTTATCTGTTGTAAATGCTTTTGCAGTTGTCATTTCATCATTTTCCATTTCATCTGCAAGTATCACAACTGATGATAAACCAGATGTCATTTCTTCAAAATCTGACAAGACATTTGTTGGATTTTGGTCTTCTGTCTAAAATATTAAAAAGCAGGATTACAAGCTTCAACACGTTCCATTTGAAATGGCATTCTCTTTTAAGGGAAACGTGGTAAAGGCATAATATACTGGAAAACTTTTGGCGACTAATTAGCCATTTGGGAAACGCTGCCTAGTTATAAAACAGTTAACAAAATAAAGTAATGAAATAACAGTGGAGTAACAGCTTTGATCGTGACAGTTAATCTTCACAAGTTAAATTATCGCTCGTATCAAAGAATAAAGGTCAATTTTACGTATATACGTTCATATTCGGTGTTGGACTAGCGTTGAGTTAGGACTATATCGTAAAGTTTCAGTCACCCACTGACATCAGTTATGATGCGGTGCGGTTAAGGTTAGGTATAAAGAGTTTAACTGCAGCTTTGAGTTAGGTTTGCAACAAGAACTGACATCAGTAATAGTTTAAAGCCTTGTCACCTTCCTGTTTACAAACTTCAGAAACTTAGGGTTGCGGTTTAGATTGAGAGTAAGGAAGGCAGGAGATTATCTAGCCTCATTCAACACTCGATTACGCGGTGAACAACACGTGCTTTAAGAGCAGGCAGGTTATGTAATTTAGCCTAAACACTATTTAAAATCCACTTTTTGGTTGGATAATAGATAATTACATTGATTTCAAGCACTTTAAGGATCAAGTACTGTCGATTTACACCTGGTGAATAATAACATACGCGTTACTCATCACTGCATTTCAAACTTTGAGCAAAATACGAGGCGCTATCCTAACTCTGATGGGCTAATTCAAGGCAGCCAGTATATTTTACTTTCACTAGGAGCATACGTTAGATACAAATTTTCTAACATGAGTTACAAAAATAACAACATAGAGAGTATTAGTTCACACAAGATGTTAGATACTGCTTGTTGACGAGTGACGTAAAGCAAGAAGCCAAGTTCCAAGGTATCTTGTCAACTATTTAAGAACAACTCAATATAATGCACATGATCTCGAAACACATATTAGTAACCACACTGCTACTTGATTAATGGAATAGGATCAGCACTAAAGGATAAGGCAAACATGACATTGATGACTTACTCAATGATCAGTTAATGGACATAGAATAGAACAGAAAATTTTCTATGTTGCTTAAGACTGACTAATAAGATCAAACCATATAAAGTAAAAATCCTACGCTTAAGTAGAAATGATCACAATAGTAGAATGAAATCCAAATGTGTTCTGACAAATATATACATATAATCATAGAAAATATTTTTTTATACAGAAATAAAAACGTTAACTTTACCTAAATACTGTTGTCAGTTACATGACAATCAACACAAATCAGAAATAAGATCAGCACAACTGATCGATATATTGTTTTAACAGGTTGCCATTCAGCTGTTAAACCTAAAGTTATTATTCCTATTACTCCATTAAACTAAATTATCTTAAACAATGAATTAATGATTTTATAATAATTGAAAGTAAAAACGTAGAAAAAGGCATTAAAAGTACAGTATAGAAACGAGCCAATAAGAATTGAGAAAATAACTTTGAAGTGAAATCTAAAAACAAGTGGTGTTCAATTCACGTTATATTATATGAACAGTAGAAATACCTTTGTAGATTGCTTGGGACATTCAAAATGATCATGGAGAATTATTTATTAGCCATGATAGAGTAAAATACTAAACCCAGATTGGATATACAACACAAATCAGCAATACTCCTGGATCCTAATTTTAAATATAAAACCCCAAATCTATAAACAAGAACAGACTTATAAGAATCTATTTGCCTTACAACGGTTCGAGATGACGGATCTTTTATATCCATAAGAGCAGTGTTAGGTGTCATTGTTTTTCAATTTACAGAAAAAAGGTATAGAAGATTTCAGTGGATTCACTATGTAAGATATGTTTGTATTGTGTAATGTGATTGGTTTGCTTCCATGAAGTACTGATTTAGAATAACTGCTTTTTTACTGACCAATAGCTGGCTAAAATTAGTCACGGTTGTTTTAAAGTCCTCTTATCAGTAAGCCTAATATGTTGATATTACCATTGACTTAAAAAAGACAAACAAATAAGACATTCAATCTGAGCCAGCTTAGGTAACGATCTTAGGTTGTAAGAATTTGACATTGGTCCAACTAAGTAAATTATATTGCTAATCGAACAAATGCTTTGTATAAGAATAATCTCAACATACTGAATGATCCATGTATAGTTCAGGCAATCAGATATGATGGACAAATCCACGTGAAGGAGGCACTTTTAGTGTAAATTTTTATAAACAAATTTATTACTTATCTGTTTAGCGCTTCCAGGTTTTCAATGATTGCTTAACTAAGATTGATTCGTGATCTCAATATCACTGAACAATCACGTGCTAACACTATGTACCTTGTGAAAAGAAGAATATCACGCGATTTCTAATTCATTTTGAAATACACACCTTACGGATATATGTAGTATTTTCACTTTCTTTTTTTCTCGCGTTGAATATATTGATTAGAAAATACAATAACAACATGACTGTTAAAACAAAAATCCATATCTTCAGATATGATATATGTATATATTTTACGTGACAACGAAATTATATTGAGAATAAAACCTTTTAATAACAAGATATTTATAATGATAAAGTAACTGATATATTTTATAAGCTTTCGACAGTCTGGTAGGATAAATTACAAAAGAGTTTCTATATGATTCGAAATCATAGTTCGCATGTTTGTGAAACATGGTCTTTAAAAATGGACAGTAATGGTAGGGTACTATTATTTGAATTGCACTGTGAATGTCGGGTAAGCAATACTAAGGTTAAACAAAGGGTGCTGGTTAGCTGATGAGATTGTGAATCTTTGTCTAATGAGGCATTTTGAACATCTGTTACGTAGGCCTAACCAGGTGGAATGTTAACTGATCCAGGAGTAAGTTGTAAGAAAGTTAGGGAGCGACCAAACCAAGATGTGACGTCGGTCCATGAAGTCACTAACTGTTGAAATGAGCAGTGTAGGTAGCTGCAGACTATATGGTTAGGGTCCGCAGGACTATCACAACCAGTAGTTGGATAAGCTAAGTGACATAACCCTGAATCGGTCGCAGGGATTCAGATCCACTCATTCATTGTTTTCCCTTCGGCAAAATCCGACTCACACGTCCGCGTCGTGCCTCCTGGATAATGAGACGAATGACTCATGAACTAACGTGAGCGGTAACCCGGGTGGTGGAGATCGGGCTAATCACCCACTCTTACCTATACCCATCAACTGATTACGAACTCCACAGATAAACATAGCACAACTACATTTGGAATGGAAAACGACAAAAAAGTTTCTCGAAAGTGGTGCATCTATCATATGGAGTTGCTCGTCATTGGGCAAACTCCAAAGGATTGCAGAAACAACTATTCTAGCCCTGGTAGTTGTGCTGTGCTTTGATGTGGCCTGTTTCTCTCCAGAAGGGCCCACTAGGCTTCACCAACTTTTTTGACTAGAAGGAAGGAGACCCTTAGTTTTAAAATACTTATACTATGTTGTTTCACAAACTGATACGGATACTATTTCTGCTACTTAGAAATTGGTCTTGGTAATTTTTATCTCACTGTGCACAGATGGTCGAATATGACAAGCTTTAGTTTGCTAATGATTCGAAAAAGGGGATTGAAAAATGAAAAGCACAAAATAATAATAATTGGAGACAGCTGCAAGGTTTATATAATTTATTTTATATTAAACAGTCATAAAATTGTTTGATTTATAAAGCTGAGTGCTACCTTGAGCATTTTTCTTTACTTCGAGGTATTATTCTACACTTTGTATTGTCCTAATACATTTTCCAGAGTTTGGTCAGATTACGAGCGGCATATGTATATATAGTCGTCATAGATTTTCGTTTGATCCGATGTTATTATCTAAGAACTCAAAATACTTTTACATTCTGGTCACGACTGTGAATTCTCAAAGAACTCAAAGATCATAACAATCACGTCTGTCACTTCCAAGTAAGTGACGAATTAGTTAGCGCATACATATGTACATAGTTTACTAACTTGTAACGTTAATTGCTGTCAACTCTAGGACTTTAACATGCTCACCATATTTAAAATAATACAAATGAGACTGCTTACCGGTAGAGTAGATGAACATTCGACTTTTATATTGTCCGGTTTAAGACTATCCGACAAGTTTTCTTTCTTGTTACAACTTAACTTCCTCAAGTGTTTGCTTTTATTCAATGGTTTTCTGTAACTATGTTTTCTTTTAGACTTGCTTTCGTGATTTGATTTCTCATTATCATTATTATTACTACTACTATCACTATTACGGCGGATTTTCTTTTCAATGCTATTGTTTTGATTGAAAGATCTACTACTGCACTGCGAATCACTTCTGGTACTAGTAATAGTAGTATCATTATCACAGAATTTTGTGATGAATTCATCATTTGAAATTTCTGATTCATTCTCCACGGTTGTATGATCATCACTATCTAATGGATATGAGAGAAAATGAAACGAATTTAAACCATAGTTTAAGATCATTGCCTAAATACAAATGACTTCTTTGAGAAGTGTAATCATGTTGGAAGAGTCCCAAAAATATCACCCCATCAAAGTTCTTAGAGGCCCAGAAAACCTAGAAGGCCTTTTATCCAATCAGCGTTGAGTATAATCATCACAGAAACATCCAGTAAATGCAGAACCACGTGTCACGGTTGTGATTGGATATCTACCTGTACTGCTACTGTTTTTAGTATGGTTCCAGAAATCTAAGGACAGGCGTGACACTGTAAACACCCTCATTTTTCTGCACATAAACTAACCTTGGAGTAAAGCTTTTATTCGTATTTCGCGCCTTTTCTGTAGCATTTCAGTTGACGTACAGATGTAGTTGGGGATATCAGAACTAGCTAGGAAGACAATTTAAGCGGGTCGGTAGCAAGAATGATCAAATCAAAACTTCTAGGTTCCGTATTAATACCACAGTCAGTCAGTCGGCTACAACGTAGGACAAGGTACATATATACATCGATCTAAGTTGCCATACTTCATTAGCATAACAAGGTGAACACTAAATTCATAGTAGTTAATTCAATGGTGGTAATACATAAAAGATTGCATATAAGGATATAGTACAGAAAGAATTAGTTGGTAGAAAGAAAGATATAAAGCAATTTTAATCTCATAGTTTAAGGGAAGACACAGAGTATATACACCTACGACACATGAGATACTGAACAAGCTTGACCACAACTACCAACATATTATTTCACATCACCAAACTTGATGACAATGTGAACTATCTAGTAATGAGATAACATGATTCGAATCGGATAAGTTGCTGGCTTTTTTAACTCAAGACCATTTTTCGGTAATGTTGAACAACTATTTTACTGTTATCTATCATTGCTATGCTTGGCTTTTGTTGACCGTCATTACTGTTCACAGTGATTACCTACATATTTTATAAATCTACATTTAATTCGTTTTCGCCTAATAAAAGTATTCGAATTCTATCACAATGACTTTCTTAGAATTCATTTGTTATTGCAATTAAATTTTTAGATATTGGCAAAACAAATGGTGAAGGTTTTAGACTACTCTCCTTAGATCTGAAATTTGCCTCATTTTGTTTCGCCTTTTCAAAAATAACCTTGTATGATGTAGTGAGAATTCAAAAATGAAGCGATACAATCACTGTAATTTGACTAGAAACACCCAATCACTACGTCAAACTAAATACGAATACATCGCCGGAAAAGGATAGTGACAGACGACACGCTTGTTGAACACTGAAGATGTTGCAGATAACCTCAGGTAGAAATATTTATGACTTTCAAAAGATTTACTCCTACTTCTTTTGGTAATATAAGTTTAGCATTCGTTAATCCTAGTGAAAAAGGTTCCATTCTATCATCGACTTGGTACTGAACTGATGTTGAAAAAAAGATAAACTCAATAGATTCAAGAATGAACGTTAGGAAAGATTAATGTACTGAAGCAGCTTTTTTAAAAATATCACTTCTTGAAAAAAAGCAATGCCATAACATATTCCAACTGACTATTCTTAACGTGAAAGTTTTTCATGATTAAGGTCATTCGCATGAAATTTAATTTGATTTCCGTTTGGTCATCTACAGTGGTCTATTCAGTGATTTATCATACAAATCATGCTATTTCCAATCGTTAGTTATGAGAATTTTAAAATCATTATCGTTAACAGTGAATTTTCAGTGATTATTCATTTAAGCAAAGTGCAAACGATTGATAAAAAGTGCACCAAAATCAAAATGTACTGGTTACGACTAATCAGCAATAATTGAAAATAGTTTTTGATTATTCGAATTTTAACGTGTAAAATACTTGTATTAAATAAGGAACGACTACGTATTTCGAGTGTATGATACTTAAAACACCTAGGTCTAATGGTTAATTGATGTTAGGAATAATGAAGGCAGTGGTAACTCTCTGGTCGCCCATACCGTGGGAGGGTACTGATTTTTGAGGTAACAAAAACTGAAACGGGGTTTAAGGTGGTCTTGATAACCTGCTTATGTGACTGCACTGCCCAAGAAAGTGTCTGAGGCCGGTTACGCACTGAATTTATGTAAGTAGTTTCAGATGTGCTAGCTCCAAAATTTAAGGCCTTGATGCCGTCGGCGAATATCCGCGGAGCAAGGTGAGATGTTCTATTCTCAAAGCACACCTTTGCTAAACCGGTTTTTCCATTGTAGTAAGTAAAGTGCCGCGAACGCTTGTCCGAGCCAAGCATTTTGTCGATTATACCTCAGTAGCTAACAGTATGATTTGGTCTTCTGATCAATAACTTTGGCGCTTTCAGTCTGACCACACTCCAATCGACTTGACCAATGTGGTAGGAATCAAGGGAACGAGTGTCTCAGTATCGTATTTCAGATATATTCAACTTCGAACGACAAGCAATGAATAATCGAGATAATACTAATTGGATACAATTTACTAATGATGACCTGGATCATATATATATATATATATATATATATATATATATATATATATGCGTATGTCAGATAGAATTAATATGATAAGTATTTAAAGACAATTAGCTGGTCAGATGATAATAACTTGTAAAAATTTAATAAGTAAGAAAACCATATGATTACGGTGTGCTTAACTTCCTATCCTTGAACATAATACTAACAACTCCAAAGAACACTGGAGTCGATACTTGATTATAATACAAAAATTTCAATACACTATTTTGGATTATTTTTAACACTTAGTGGATGTCAGGTACAGAAATTAAAAAAAATCTATGAACACTGAAAAAATGATTATAGGGTGATTAGTGTTCTATTTGTAGTTTAAAATTGAGGACTGACCTTCGTCGAACAACACATACAAAACCAGAAAGCACCACACAGCAATTTTGTCCCGTAGACTAATTTCGAGAGGCGATTTCCGGAATTCTGGTTAGAAGCCATGACCAATGAATTGAAACCAAGTCAAGTGTGAAGCAGTTACTTACCGATGACATTGGAAATTGGTTGAGCAGTATTGTGAACTGAACAAGGTTAAAAAATCAAACCAGCGGCTGCTTCTTAAATAGTTTAAAAACTAAGCAATCGTTGCAAGACCTGAAGGTCATGAGTTCGATCCCCAATCGAGTCGTCATTAGGGTGACCCTAAAAATTCCTCGAATAAAGCTCAAAGGGACAACGAAAACGCTGGGAAACATCTTATCCAACCAGCATTCAAAAGAAGTTCCTCAGAAAGATCTAGAAAGTGAAAAACCACGTGTCAGATTTCTGGTTGGATGATTACTGATCCTGCTTCTATGTTTAGAAAGGTTTCACAACTTTCCGGAAGCTCAAGATCATATGAGATATTATAAATACCCTAGATTTTCTGTACACAAACTAACTTTGGAGTAAAGCGTCCTTGCCATATTTCGCACCTTTTCGATCGTGTTCAAGTTGTCGTGTAGATTTAGTCTAGGAATTACTAGAAGAGCTCAGGAAATCGACTCAAGGGTTCAACTAGAAGATTTATCAGTTATGAATGTAGACTCTTGAGCAGTTCCATACTTGAATGAAACAGTTGTTTATCGTTTGCCGGTTTTCAATGATCCTCTAAATAGGATCAGTTCGTGATGTAAACTCCGAAATTCTGCAATCTCGACAAAACCTCAATGTTAATCTAAAACTATATTGTCTTGTTCAATAATCTAACTGAGAGACATATTTAGCATCGGAAAATAATCAAATCCAGTTTTAGAAAACAGCACAAAATATACAATCACTATTACACCAGATTACAATCTAAAACAACTAGATATGACATGATACTTGCAGAGATCTTACTATTTTGGTAAAGTTATGCGCAGCTTATTTATGTAAACCAAACAACATTCTTATGTTCTTTATTTTGTTTAGTAATATTTGTGTTTGTGTCTTGAATTCAACTTTGCGACAACAACGTTCCAACAGCAGATCATATGATAGTAGAACGATCCAACTATGATTAATTTAAAAAACTGGAAAACTTCCAAGCTTAAAAAGAATGAGTGATAAACTTTTTGTAGAACTACACAATCCTAGATTCATTCTAATGACAGTAATAGATATGTGACGGTGGAACTATACTCCACCAACAGACCAAAATGAATTTACGACAACGGTTGTTAGACTTCTGCGTCAAATTCAAAACGAGTTGACAAATAGCTTATACTTTATTAAAAACCAAGTAAAGTATTTATCCCAAACCTAAACTTATTGGTTTTTCACGGTAAATGATTTGTTTATGTTACAGACATTCTGACTGGCTAATAACTGTGTGAAATCTCACAAGCTTTTTTTACAGTCACTTAATTTCGTACGTATAGTATAATGTTGTCACCTTGTTCATCTGCTGTACTAAGTACATGAAACATCCAAAGTTGAAATTTTAAGAAAACAGATAGAAGTGCAAACCTGGCCATTCATCATCTTGAGTAACATTTAGATTTTTACAGGTTTCATTGGTATCGTTAGCATACCGAGTAGGTTCATTCGGTATGGTTTGCTTGACAGTTGAGACGAATTCAACTCGTTCATTAAGTTTTCTTCTATGAAATTCAGTTGAATCCAATAACCATACACGATAGTAATACCTTGACCAGAAATCAGCATCACTCATAGATTTATCATTAATTTTACCATCTGGATGAACAAGTTGAGTTAAATATGTTCGCATAAAAGGATATGAATCCAATAATTCTTCAGGACTAGGATGTGGTGCTTGTGTAAGTTCTTCAATTGGAACATTACTATATTCATGACTTTTAGCATTTGCTAACAGGACACCATTCATTGGTTGACAATTATCTTCATCAAAATACGCTGATCTCCAATCATGATATGAATGTATACCAGACGATGCTGGAGGCATTGGTGGTTCCAATTCATATGTTGCAGGATCTGCTCTAAGTAAATCAAGACGAGTCTGAAGCAAAAAATATATTTAATTAGTTACATAAATAAATTTAATAATAAAAGACAAACACGTGTTTGAAATGGTTACATTGATTAAGATTTTGAAAAAAACGTACAACAATGTACATTCACATGACGTGTAAAATTAACATATATTTTTGAAATGTGGTAAATTATTAACCAAATTTTAGAATAAGATGTTTTAACCAAGCTTAAAATATCGGTTGTGTTAACTTAAAAAATGAATTTACTAAGTCAGTTATGCGTATAAATTTGATACTTAAAACTGATAAATCACTTACCGAATTGTCCCTGTTATTATCACAATGTAGCACATGTTCTATAAGAATGGAATTTCAATTTAGATGGGACGAGAATATTTCGATTTTTAAATTATATACAGTAGGATACTAAACTTATTGGGGTGATCATAATGTTAAAGGGATAAGTGATCAATAATGGTTAAAAAAGACCTCTGAATAAATGATTTTTGTTGTGCTGGCCCCTCATTTTACAAATCTTATACTTGACATTGGAAATATACTGAGCAAGAGAGGGTTTGGTATTTTGAAAGTCGACATTTTAATTACTCCTTATGACTGCAGTAAAACAGCATGACTAGAGATTCTCTTTACCTGCGTGAAACACTTTGATATCATCATACAAGGGTACAATCGCCAATACTTCATTTTCGAAACTAGAGCATCGTATTTTCATTTTATCGTTCTCTAACCAAACTGCCTGGTATGGGAGGAACTTGAACAAGTATCCCAGACAATATAGCTTAAGTCTAACTACATAACCAAAACAACAGCTACAGATAGGTTCAGAAATAGCTTTCATAAATATGTCTCAACTGTTGCGGTGTGTGCTACTTATATGGACAGGAACTGGAAGTCGGATTCTTACCGACAGAAGAGGAAAATGTAGACACAAGAAAGAAAAACAAAGACAGAGTAGCAACACCAACGGGAAAACGAAGTTTGTAAGAGACAATTCAAGGAAGTTGAGCAAATGGTGAATTTAAAGCATTTTATTTTGATAGTTGAGATCATGAGTCCATTGAAGATAGACCACCATGGAAAACCTGGAAGCACTGCACGGTCGTTTCGTCCTATTGTAGGACACCTCAGTGATTATGCACAACACAATAAATTAGATTAACATACCCAAATCTTTATTTATTACAATAGTATCTAACATGACTAAATTTTAAAAAGTTCTATTCCTGATTTTGTTTGTTAAATATGTATCGTTAATTACTGTTGATTGTTAGTACAAGTGAATTTTGAAGGATTGACTAAAATATCCCCATCAGCCACAAAATGTATGTATCAGTTTTGTGTCATGATAATAGTGCTTTTATAATATTCAAACAACAGAATTTCTTCATAATATTTCCTTTAGAATATAAATTTTTCATTGTCATACAATAATCTACGTTTACATTAAAAAAGCAAAGAAAACTAGTTAGACACCACGAAAAGTTAACGAAAAATGTAATGCGAAAACTGAATCTAAAACTACTAGGAAAATCATGCACAAACATCTTACAAATAATCAAAAAAATGGACATGGTTTACCAATTTTTTAATCAGGAAATACAACAAATGTATGTAGCATGTATAAAAGCACATTAAATTTTATTTTCTGAAGAAGTGGCTTATATTAAGTCACGAGACGTCGGAAAATTTAAAACCTAATTTTACCACTCATTAGGATATTAAAAATATATTATTTTTGTCAATTAAATTTTTGGTTTCAAAATTAGTGATTGTTACGTTCATTACTTAATTAACGCAGAATACGATATACAAATAACGGCACTCGAACGTATAGAACCCCACAGTCTTAAATCAGAAGACAGAAGTAGAAGTGATTGTTCAGTAAGAATCAGAAATGTACGGGAAATCATGGGTGTTCATAGATATTGGTGTTCGTCATAACATCATTATGATTCAGCCAATTTACAAGGAGGTAAGTTATGCTACCGTCCAATCGTAGCATGCCACGTTGATATTCTAGAAAGCTCCATAAAGTTCTGATCGGGTGGAAACTCTTCGGCTCTTTTGGGCCTTTGGAGACTCCGTTGTGCTTCTCGGAAACCGTTTCAACAGTGATTTTATCTGCTTGACCAAATGGAAAGAAGTAGAAGGAGGATTCGGAACTATAATCCACTGATTGACAGTTGAATGATATAACCAACACGCTACCGCTCCAACTGTTGGTTGGAATATCAATAGAATGAGTTGTAATTATGGAATAATAAATATCTAGTTTTGAGTAAATAGTTGAAAAGGATTCCTTTGATGAAAGTTATATATATATATATATATATATATATATATATATATATATATATCAGTCAGAACGATAGCACAAAAGATGTACACTGATGATGATAATAATAATGATAAAGAACAAGAATAATCAAACAGAGAACAAGGATTGATGAGAGTGATAAGTGAAACACAAATAGGTAACACTAGAATGAATTATAAACCTAGTGGTACTTATGATGTTTGTACAGGGATAAAATATCGTTTGTCTGATGATAAATGAACGAACTGAGCTTATAAGATCAAAGGCAAAAGTTTGAAAAAACTCTCAGAAATGTTTATGTAGTGTTGATAGGACTACGTAGATAACGCAATTAAGAAAACAGCTTTTACAAGTCTATTAAGCTCATCTATGTACATAGTTCTACAAAAAATGAAGCGACGAGAAAGCTGAAGAGTCTGAGTTTTTGAACGTCTAAGGAAGTCATGAACAATAAAAATGGAGACAGGGTAAGTGTATGCTACGTTTGAAGAGATTACGATATCACCTAGAAACAGCGAAACGGGACGAAGTCAGCAACACAATAACAGGACAAGCTAAGCTATTCCACTGAGTCCCAGCTCTACTAACTAGAAAGAAGACCAGAATCGGCCCGGAAAAAAACATAGTTTACGCGTAGCCAGAAGCATAAATTAACGAGCGCACAACTCATGCATATCCATACAGTGCAAAAATGTCATTGAAAAACGTCACAAAATAGCGTACTAAAAGAGGAAACGAACCAATGACATTCAGGGTCCTTCCAAGTGGGTGGCTTTTGGAACGAAAATAAGATACTTCTGGGGACTTAGCAATCCCAACAGTGTATTGTTACAAATAAGAAGCATTTCGAATGGGATAGGAATGGGGTACGCTAATTTTCAGGAGGTAAATTTACTAGGAACTTAGTTAATGTATTTATTGGGCAATTTATGAATTACCAACATCTCAATTGATAATAATTAGTTTAAAAAATTATGATGACAGGATCAATCCAATTTTATCACTTAGAGCATTCTATCGATTCTGGATCAAAATTACATAAGATCAGACAAATTTTGGAACAGCACAAACTATAAAAATTTGGAATTAAACTTGTGAACAACAAGTGACTTTAATTTTGTTGACACATAACTATACACTGAGTTTATTCATAAGTTTTAAGCTGCTACTCTTCAATTTGCAAACAAAGTAAATACTTACTAGTAACTCAATCGCTGATAGTCTAGTATGCAAATTATTGGACCGTAAAACTAACAGACATGCTATGGTAGGATAAGCATTTGAAGCTTTTTTGCAGTTTACATTAGCTAAACAATCATTGAATACCAGAAAAAATCAAACAGCTGCTTTGTCACAGTATAGGACTTCCTGGCAGTATGCATTCCGGACCCTACCAGAAATATCGAGCCCAGAAACTTCAGGCATCAAATCAAGAGCCCGAACTCTAGACCATTGAGGTGATATCCAGTAGTTCACGCTCCTAACCCTAATCAATCCACAGTACTGCGCGACCATCTTTCGATGCCACTGGTAAGTGACTGTTTTACACCTGATACGGCTGAACTTCATTAGTCATGGCTTCTAATTTAAACTTTGAGGATCATCTCGCTTCAATTGTTATCTAACTAAGATTAGTTGGTGATGTAAACGGTGAACACAAGTTGGTCAATTTCCAAAAACCGTGCATACTAATTCGAAAATCTATTCATCTGAGTTTTAACTACAGCAATTATAGTTATAACAATAACTATAATAAACTAGATCCTCTCAACACTGTATTTTTGAACAAAATAAAAACAACATACTTGGTGTTTACTTTTATCTTTACATTGATTTTCTCCAGTTATTAAACCGAAATACGTGCCAGTCGACATTATACCATTATATAAAGAATCGACCAACTGGGATACATCTTGTTTAATATTCGTGAAGCTAGGCAACGCCGGTGGTAAGGCCGTTAAGTCTACAAAAGAAAAGATGAAAATAATTAACACATAGAACTGTGGAAAAATATGTAGTAATGATATTCGATCATTTTTGTTTCATTATATTTCCTTGAAAAATCTTGGATCAGATTGCCGAGCGAAACGTTGAATTTACTTCAAATTCATTCGTTGAGATTTCACAAATACATTTTTTCTACTTAATGTCTTACATCAACTCGGTGCCCAAATACTGTGAGAATATTCCTTCAAATTTAGACGAAAATTCTCACATGACACCATACTTATTGATAGATCGATGAGTGGAAAAAATAGCTTAGAAATCGAGACAAATATTTAAGACTCATTTATCTGTGAAGATGAAATTAGTGTCACTTACTCATAAACGATTGCTTTAACTACTTTCTACTCAACTTTAATGTCGTAGAGATGGTTACTATTGATTAGCAAAGTATAACTATGAACAGATAGATATCTCATTGCAGAGCCTTTCGCGAACGTTGAGAACAACAGTAAAACATGAAGAGAAAATCCAAAAGAATGAGAAGACATCAGAACATGAAGGAAAGCGGGTCAATATTTAAGAAAAGAATAATTAACAGTAGTTATAGAATGTTTAAGACCGGTTTCGACCCATTTAATCACTCAGGGGTATATCACTAAATCCAATTGTTCTTACAAACACAACTTGAGCGTTAGTACAAACTAGAGATTACTGAATTCATGGACTGGAACTGTTCTGATCTCTTGCTTTCAGATATGACCGTAATTCAATTAGCATTAAGCATAAAGAAAGATAGGACATTTGTGTTTAGTTATGACTCTCTTTTCCTAAAGAAAGATTTTCTTAACTTGCTACTCTGGAATTTTTAGACCGCGTATGACAAGCTAAATTTAACTCCCCAAAATCTTACATATACGATTTTTCACTGTATTATAATGCAGAGATAAGACAAATAAATTCTTTACAGTTTACTCATTAATATGATAATTTAGTCTTGAAAGTATTTGATGGTTTTAAATAAAAATTTCTATTTGTTTACTCGGGTATACTTTTTCAACTTATCAATATAACCTAACTGATTTGTATTGAATGGTAGTAATCCAGTTGAAATTGTAAGTAAAAGAAATAATTTATTACCACTAATTGTCTCAGCAGTAATTAACAACTTTATCATATGTTATTATTTAAAAAGAAATGATCGTGATCTTCACTATTTTATTTATTGTATAATGATCAGATAGTCAGTTTTACAGTCTTGTGGACAGTGTAATTCATCTTCCTCGACCGTGAGTTGTTTTTATATCCAGGATTAAGTACAGTGGATATTGATACAGTAACTGGAAACTTATTAATAAGTTCTTGTCAACCGTATATACACAAGTATAGAATCAGATAATTCTATAATTTTTTTGATTGAGATCATGAACCGATTGATGTTAGACCACCTTTGGAAACCTGGAAGCACTGGACGGCCGTTTCGTCCTAGTATGGGACTCCTCAGCAGTGCTTCCAGGTTTCCAAAGGTGGTCTAACATCAATCGGTTCATGATCTCAATCAAAAACTTAATAATCTCCACAACCCCTATACTTGTAATTCTATAATTATTGTTTTACTGAGAAAAATGACAAGTATATTTTAGTTCCCCTGAATATAACTTAACTAAAAATATAATCTAGCAAAAAGTACGATATCATTATTTGTTAGGTCAATGTTCATCATTAATTTCAATACTTATTAACGACTGAATATTGTAGAAATTTCACCGCTCCAAACATGAGTTTTGAAGAGACAATTTCGCTCGATTTCAGACTGTTTTGGTCTTGTTTTGTGTTTTGTTTTGAACGCTGTTTACAAAATAGCTTGCATAGGCGGGTGTGATCAAAGCTTTCAACTTTTAGCTAGTGAGTAATGGGTTCTAACCCTGCTCCACCTACTTTAATTTGAAGAACCAAGTAACAATGCCAGACTTTTTTTTTTAAAGTATGACTCAAAGACAAGTGCACTAAGCTATACATAATAAGTGACTTGAGAAAAACAAGATCACTCCAGTTTGCAACCGAATATCGACCGACCATATAGAACTTAATATTTTACACTCTTGTTACTAAAAATGCTATTATTCTCTAGTCAGGAATTTGATGAAAAATATCAATCTACTGAGAATAGTTCGTTGTAACAAAACTATTTATATCAATTTAATAATTATTACGATGACAATCAAAAAAAGTACAAGTATTTATACACAATTGTCTACGCAAGATACTTAATGTCCGTTGGTCAGATAGAATTAGCAACAGCCTATTGCGGAAGTAGAAAAAACAGCTCACAACTGAAGAGAAGATTAGGAAAAGGCGCTAAAAGTTGATAAGACATACATTGAAGGGAATCATCAAAATGCATCACTAGGCAAGCCCCAACTTGGAATCCTGAAGGGAAACGGAAAAGAGGAAAACCGAAGAACACACTGAGTCGAAGATTAGAAGCAGACACCCAAAAGATGAATAGCAACTGGAAAGAACTAAAAAGGATTGTCCAGGACAAAGTTGGATGGAGAATGCTAGTGGGCGGCCTATGCTTCTCCACGAGGGGTAACAGGTGTATATAAGTACGATGACGTTCAAACTGCTGATTGCAAATTGAAACATATCAGCCAGTAAATAACCCCTAAAACTTTGTACTTCAGTACAAATATCTTACCTTGAACATTCTATAACTCTACACGGAGTTTAGAATCAGCGTACACAGAAATAACTATCGTTTGGTACGTTAGGATCAGTTATATTCTTTACAACATATTAAAAATACTACAATTAATTATTACAAGAATCAACCATACAAAGATCAATTTCAAAATAATCATATAAAGCTCTATTTTTACCATCATTAACGATATTTCCCTTCTTTGTAAACTGTTGATCAGTTTCCGATTCATTATCCGGCAAAAGAAATTCATTAGGATTTAGGTTCTTTACTGTATTTGCAGCAGCTGTGATACGATCACGAACTGAAAAAGCAGTACGATATACAATATCTTTTGGTTCAGAGACAGAATGAACAACTTCATTAAAATCCTTTTTAATCTGTTCCCAAACCTTAAATAAAAACAATATAAGGAAAGATAAGGAGATCGGTGACTTCATCGTAATTATTATTGCAGAGTTGGTCGAACAAATTCATACAGAACAATTATCTTATTTATTCAATTAATTTACCAGGTACAGATTTGTTGGAGATATGAAATCCTCGAACACAAATGAAATAATGGCAATTGTGGTATAAATTCATTATTCACATCATCCTCCGTGCATATACCAACGCCTTAGTGTTGAAGAACATGTTGAAATGTTGGATAAACAAAGCTGAATTTTATAAGTAATAAGTAACGTGAATTTTCCCTGCTTTTAATTTCTTAACAACCAAAGGTAAATTCTAACATTTATGAAGGGCAACTACCCATGTCTTTGTAACAAATTCTAAAATTTGAACATTGTGGCAGTGTATAAAAGCATAAAACTGCATCTGATACATGTGTCAACCTGATAGGACTGAAAACAATGAATTGAGCGCAGAAATATTAATTCACCAATAAAATCATATCGAGTGAAATATCTATAGTAAAATAAAGAGAATCAGTAGAATAAAGCTTGTGATATAAGAATGTTTGCTTTACACTGTCAAGCACGGTATAAACTGACAGTATAATGGGATTTGAAGAATTAATCAACAAAATTTAGTAAGTAGAACCATCAGACAGAGAAGATTCTATATTGTCTCATTTAAAAGACAAGGTTATTGGCTCGTGATTTATGTTGTCCTCACCATTAATCATTGTCAGCCATGTGAGGGCTATGATTATTCCTCGAGTTTCGAGAAGGCTGGCAGTCTGTTATGGAAACACCCTCACTCGAGCTCTTGATATAAAGGTCTAGTTCGCAAAGAAGTGGAGTAGTGTTAGGGGACTCAATTTCATGGTGATCAGAGGAAGTTTATATGGTATTTGTCTCCTCAGGATTTTTGACCACATTTATACCACCGGTTTGAAATCAGTGTCTGCCTACTTTGCACCCTTCATATCTACCAAACCCAATCCAACAGTACTTTTTACGTGAGGATAATACTACGCGAAAGCAATGAGCAGAACTTCTCTGAAAAAGGCTATAAACGTATGATCGTATGAAAGGGTTTTGAAAAGGAGAGTGGACGCTCAGCTGAAACTACGGTTCTGGGAGTGAGCGACCATAAAAATTTGGCCACAATCTATTTTGTGAGCACAGACATTGTTCTATGGTCTAAATTTCAGTGGCTGTGTGGTGATCGAATAATCAGATAGGGATAACCAATTTATTGTTTAATGCACAATCACAAATTGGTTTAGTAAAATGTGAAACTCGTACATCAAATACATCGCTTGCATATCTTTGGATTGTCGCTTGCAAGCTTCATTATTTCTTCATTTCTATTTTTATCTTTATTGCTTTCAGTTCCCTTCCCTCTTTTATTCACTTAAATGTCCTCAACCTTCTGCTGGCAGACATTCCACTTCCCACTAGTGTTACACACTGCTTATATCTGCATAAGTAGTATACTCCACAGTTATAGTGGGACTAAAACCTGTGACCCAGTTGTTGAAAGTCATATGATTAAAGGAATAAGTTAAAACTCCAACAACATGCATGCGACCGTTCAAGTTCCTACACAACATTAGGACAGCGAGAAAAAGTTATAATGACAAATTCACAGGATAGCAGAATTAGTAACAGTATCAGTAATGGCATGAAAGATTAGATGTGGGTAAAAAGGAACTTTGAAATTCAGAGACTAACGGATTTTGTGCTGTATCGCACAACCTATAACCATTGATTATGACAGACCTGTGGACTTCAACAAGATAATCTGCGCCTGTATGGATGGTTCAGTCTAATATCTAACGACTCTCTGGACTAATGCTACGTTTCAGTTTGGCCACCCCCTAACTTTCTTTAAACCTACTCCTACATTGGACAACATCGCTTATCGATGTGAGCCATAACTGCGAATACGTAATACATGTATTATTTATTTATTTGAATACATAAATATTGGTACAAGAGAGCGCCAATATACATGCACCACACAAAACAATGAGAATTTGAAGAGAAAGAAGAAAAAAATATAAGGAGCGTGAAAAAAAGGAACAATAACGAAGAGGTTGGTGTAAGGTAGTGTAGTAATAATGAGGCAACGGAAAGGTACAATCAGAAGAAATCTTTCAGTTAAGGAAGATACAACCACTTTTTATGAAGAAAGTAAAAGAAGGTTACAGCATGATCGCCACTGGCTTCTATTCGGAGCCATATCTGATAACGTCTCAAGCCACTGTGTGGTACCATCTCTCGGACCCAACCAGGGAGTCGTGAAGGACCAACACAAGCCAGTCCTTTGCAGCTTTCTTTCATACCACGACACCATGTCATGCACTGACCACCTCTCCGCTTCTTCCAACCGGTCCCAGAGTCGGCAAATGATGCACGACGTGGAATTCTCTGGGACGACATTCGTAGAACATGTCCAACCCACCGAAGTCGGTGTTTCAAGATGGTGACACCAATTGCATTATCGTCTCTGTACTCGAACACACGATGCCGAACCTCTGCATTACTAACATCATGTTGCCACTGGATGTCAGCAATCGTTCGGAGACAACGATGATCGAACACAGAGAGTCGTCTAACGTCCTCAACTCGGAGAGGCCAGGTTTTACAAGTGCAGAACAAAACTGCTCTTATCGACGCGTTGTAGATCCGACCTTTTACAGCCAGACTAACACCACGAAGGCGCCAAAGGTGGCCCAGACTGGCATAAGCCGCTCTGGCTCTCACTATACGTGCATTGATCTCATCACTCACAATATCATCCGCATACTCAAGGTCGAGAAGTCTTTCTCCAAGCAACAGATCTACGCCGTCATTACTTACATCCATCAGAACTGTTTCCAGAATGTTATCGATGGCAAAGTTGAAGAGGAATGGTGAGATTGGGCAACCCTGCCTAACCCCACTGCTCGAATGGAACAATGGAGAGAGGTGGTTGTATGCCCTCACTCTGTCTGAGGTGTTTGTATATAGGGCTTTTAGGATGTTAATAAACTTCTCAGGCACACCCTTCTTCAATAGACAATCCCAGAGAACAGTCCTATCCAACGAATCGAAGGCAGCCCTGATGTCAAGAAACACTACGATTGTTGGCCTGTGATAAGTATGGCGGTGTTCTAACATTTGGTGGAGGGTGAAGATATGATCAATACACCCTCGACCAGAACGAAAACCAGCCTGCTCCTCGCGAGTCAATCTTTCTCGGGTTTTGAACAGCCTACGAAGTATGACGGAAGCCAATAGCTTGGACGCAATCGGAAGTAGACTTATCCCCCGATAGATGTTACAGGAACGACGTGAACCCTTTGTAAAGATAGGGACAACTATCGACTCATTCCATGACGTTGGTACACTCTCTAGCTCCCAAACCTTTGTAAACAACGTCGTCAATTCCTTAGTCAGAAAGTCACCACCATCTTTAAAAAGAGCCGGAGGTAAGTCATCTGGGCCAGATGATTTGTAGCGTTTCAAGAGTTGGAGTTCCTTGCGGACTTCCGCCTCATTTGGTGGATCAGTCGTCACCGGCCATGGAGGGCAGGACAGTTTGACTGATGTTGCCGGAGCAGCAGGCCAGTTGAACTGCCCTTCGAAAAATTCTGCCCATCGTCCAAGACGTCGATGGATGTTAGTGATTGGCATCCCGTCATCCTCGCAGATTGTTCCGCTCACACCAGACTTCTTGCTGCCAGTGGCTCGGATGAGTTGGAAGAGCTTCCGGTAATTTCCAGATGCAGCTGCTGCTTCCAGCTCATTAGCACGCACCGACCACCAGGCTTCTCGGTCCTTACGCAAGCTTTTCCCAATTTCCATACGTAACATCCTTCGTTTGTGGCCAAACTCACGGTCACCCGGAGTAGACCGACGGGCTTCGATGAGTAATACATGTCCTAACTACTCCCCAGATAATGAAGATTTACGGCCTGATTATTCAACTTGTCATCATTACTTAGTACCCGATGTCCCAAAATACACAAGGAGTGATTCAAACGTATCCAAGATTGAACACTATGAACCTATGAGTACCCTTTATTTTTAATGTTATGCTTCACATCAATAAAGTAGAACAGATCGAATTGCTGAGCAGCAAGCTCGTCCTTTGGTTGGTAGACGGGTATCTCACCTACGCCACAAGTGACACCAGTTGACAAAAACCAGCCACACTTTCTGAACCCACACCGAGATTTCTCCAGACACCAACTTACCAGAGCTTTTGAGACATCCTAGATAAATGAAATAGTCGGCAGGCTCAACTAATTCGCTCCCCATCATTGATCAAGGCGTTGACATAAACCAGTTCTGAAACAACGTTTTGCATTTGTACAGAGAACACATCCCCAACATGCTTACTTCGTTTCTTAAGGAGATCAGAAGGCTGTTTTTCAGCGTCCCTACCAAACAGATATAACATTTGCGTTTTCTAGATCAACAACTGAGTCCCCCAGTGGAAGACCAACCGCTGAAAAGTCAGACGGTGAGAGCATTATCTCCAAAATGACGTCTATGACAAAGTTGAGTAGAAGTGGAGAAAAGTAAATAACACTGACGATCACCACTCGAGGTTGGCAATGCTAATGACAGTCAAGAAGCTCTGATTCGACCAGTATTGTTTGGGTGGGAAGTCTGTACAAGGTTGGTCCATCTCTTTAGTAAATCTTTTAACAACAGACTGCCATAGAACCTCTCAGTCAATGGAAATGAACGTCGACTTAAGGTTAAAGTATACAACTATAGTCGGGGCTTTATTTTATTTATTTGAACACATAAGTATTGGTAGAAAGGGGAACCGAATACATATGCGCCACACAAGTCATTTGATTTGTGGGTTGGTAAGTATGTTTGTATTTTATTTATTTATTTTAACACAGATAATGGTACAAGGAGGCACCAAATACATATGCGCCACACAAATCTCATTCGATATGTGTGAGAGGTGTGATACTGCCCAGATGCCCAAACCAAAGCACGTGGTTTCCTTAGGGGGCCACTCCCTGAGCTTTCGACCTGAAGGTCTGATCGACAAGGCAGTGGAGCATCGTAAGGAGATGCAGTCCCATGGTAGCCGGTGACCAACAATTGGTTCATACGCCATTTGTTTCCTTAGGATACTGGAGTCCATGTGCACCATTGGTTTGGAATCAGGGTTTTCCAACTCCCCTAGGTGGACTCACCGTGTCCACCGCCCCGATTAAAGCGCCGAACATTCGCTTTTCGTTCTCTCATTTTCGTAAACAACACCCGTGGTGTCAGAAGGCAGTGAGTAGGACTTCCCTGGCAGAGGCTATATACGCGTGGCCATGTAAGAGCATTTCGAGAGGGGGAGCGGACTCTCCCCACTCTCGGCCGTACCAGGGCTTTTGGGGGCATGTTTGTATATTGAATATTTGGTTGGAAGTCAGTTGAACTATTCCTTAAAATGTTTCATCCATCGATCGAATCTCCTGGACCGAGAATAAATAACAGTCCTCCATTTTCCGAGATCGTCTCAATAACAGAGGGATTTTAATATCCATTTCCTTGATGAGCCTAATTATTCATCCACGGTTACCTACTGATGTTGCCTTTTCCATTTCTTGGTTTTGCTGGCCACCACTGCTCACGATCATTGTGCGGGCTTTTGTTAGCCTATTTTTAATTTTCCTTCACTCTATAGTGTTCAGAGCCCGATGGGATGAGTTTCAGAGCATCTATCGATGCTACAAAAACCCAGTGATATTACTTAACCTTTTGGTTTAGGTTACTGATAAATCGCACTGCTGTTTTCATTGCTATTTGTATATCACGCTAGGCTACCCCACGGTGGACATCACTTTCATGATTAATTAACTACTTCTCTAGTTGTTCCTGAAATATATTTTTGACTTTTTCATCGTTAAGATGTGGCTTTCCTACATCCAGTAAGACCCAGGCACCAAAGAATGGTCAAAGTCTAAACATATGTTCTAGAATAAGCGGCATTCTTTTATTGAGACTCTCCCACGATGACTGATGGCAATATGGTCTATTTTTATATATCGTTAAGCCGATTTCAGGGGACACTATGTTGGACAATATCATTCTTTATGTTTAAAGTTTGTGTTTGCTATAGATAGATGGATGGAAATCCATACATAGGAAGTACAGTTCAAAAAGAACAATTGCAATCGATGGATGGAAAATCGGAAGTGACACTTATTCTAAAATTTAAAGGAAGATAAAAAACAGTGTTTATGAGTCACTGAGACTAATTTTGCGCCATGTCATCCATCTTCGACCGTCAAGAGCTTCGGTTGGAAAAAGTAATCCATAGAACTAAGCAATTTGAGTAATTGGGTTCATCAATAACCGTATATGAGGGGTGAAGGGTGAAAATGTCAGAACACTGATGCTGCCTCTTAAAAATATTTCTAGCTGGGAAAACGACTATTATAGAAAAAGCAAATCTAACACCCACACAATAAAATTAAGATGACAGTAACTGATGTCTCTGGAAAAGTGAGAAATATTCATAGCTCAAGTAAAAGGGTTTTCCAACAGCATTTGCAGAAGGTCAGGGTCTTTTGAATGTTAGGTATGGAGTTAATAAATTACAGACAGCGCTCGCTGTACGGTTGGATTTATTTGAGAAGTACTGAGAAATTAACTATTTCTCGGAGAAAAAAATCTACATTTTAAAACCAATGGCATTTTTTAATCATCTTCAATAACATCACTGGTATTCGTCACTATTTTAACTGGTACCGATTATGGATAAGTAGGCATATAGTTATTGTTGGTGAAGTTCTTTTCAAAAAAATTCAATGCACGCAGAAACAAAAGTGTATGTTTTACGGTCTACGCTATTATATTTCCCCTCTGTGGTAAACGATGTGGAATCCACCATTCCACAATCCATATAACGTTACAGTGACACCGCCTCCATATATAATCACACATAAACATTGTAATCTGCTAATCTTAACTGTGTGTTTACTTGATTCATGACTATCAATGTGAATTCCCTGTCGTAAATGCTGTACTTGGAATTGATGTATTCTGGTTAGAAATTACATTTCTTTGAAGTGACATACGCTTGTATTACTCATCGTAAACTCAACCACAAAAGTTCTGTTAGTTTATCTATCATATCTGTACAACTAAGAAACCTGGTAATATTGTTGGTCGACTTATATCAACCGGATCATGACCGTATACTGGTGTGAACTGTAGTCGATTTCACAAAACTTTTGAGCTTATAATTGCAATATTTGTAATACAGAATTAATATTCACAAATTAAGGGTGGTCAAATGACAAAAATATTTCAGGAAGGAATAAACGTTTATGTTTGTACACAAAAATGAGTATTATTGATAACATTACCATATATCTCTGATTTTTATAAACTTACATGTGAAGTTTTGACTGAAAATTTATCCGTCCAATCACAATTTATATTATGGGTTATCAATTTGTTATCTTCTTGTGATTTAGACACTTCAGGTCTTAATGAAATAGAATTAGATTGGAATAAGTATGAAATAGTCCAACATACGCTTCAATTTTCGAAATATCTTCGGTTATAACTAATGATTTTTCAGATTCCTGATCAGTTTGTTTTTCATTATCATCATTTGGATTTCTAGTGTGAAAGAAAATACTAAGTAAAAAATAACTTACATCTCCATAGATGCAAGAGAGTCCACATAGAACAACATGGAGTTCTAAAACGCGTAAAAAAAGACAGGATAAAACCATATATTCATTATTTAACAATTGTAGAAATAGACAAATTGAAAAGTGGTTGAATTACACAACAAAAGTAAATCATTCTCATTAGAAACAGAAAACGATTTACTTAACCTAATACCAGATAACCACATAATTCAAATTCTAATAAGAAACTATTTTTACTAAAAGTATCCCTCAGACCAACATAGAAATTGCAAAAGCTGGAAGTATACCAGTTTCAGTTATCAAACTTTTATTTAAACACATAAATATTGGTACAAGGGAACACCAAAATACATATGCGACACACAGTAAAAATAAAATTGTGAAGAGATAGAGGAAGGTATGCATAATAAGAATTATTTATTTATTTATTTGAACAGATATATATTGGTACAGGATTGCGCCAATATACATGCACCACACAAAACAATGAGAATTTGAAGAGAAAGAAGAAAAAAATATAAGGAGCGTGAAAAAAAGGAACAATAACGAAGAGGTTGGTGTAAGGTAGTGTAGTAATAATGAGGCAACGGAAAGGTACAATCAGAAGAAATCTTTCAGTTAAGGAAGATACAACCACTTTTTATGAAGAAAGTAAAAGAAGGTTACAGCATGATCGCCACTGGCTTCTATTCGGAGCCATATCTGATAACGTCTCAAGCCACTGTGTTACATCATCTCTCGGACCCAACCAGGGAGTCGTGAAGGACCAACACAAGCCAGTCCTTTGCAGCTTTCTTTCATACCACGACACCATGTCATGCACTGACCACCTCTCCGCTTCTTCCAACCGGTCCCAGAGTCGGCAAATGATGCACGACGTGGAATTCTCTGGGACGACATTCGTAGAACATGTCCAACCCACCGAAGTCGGTGTTTCAAGATGGTGACACCAATTGCATTATCGTCTCTGTACCCGAACACACGATGCCGAACCTCTGCAATATTAACATGATGTTGTCACTGGATGTCAGCAATTCTTCGGAGACAACGATGATCGAACACAGAGAGTCGTCTAACGTCCTCAACTCGGAGAGGCAAGGTTTCACAAGCATAGAGCAAGACTGCTCTCACAGACGCGTTGTAGATCCAACCTTTTATAGCCAGACTAACATCACGAAGGCGCCGAAAACTGCCCAGATCAGTATAGGCCACCTTAGCTTTCACTGTACGTGAATTGATTTCGTCACTCGCGCCGCCACCAGCACTTACACAGCTATCTAGATACATGAAAATCCTTGACTACTCCTAACTGGTTTCTACCAGGAGTGAGTACAGGTTAGGATTCCTGTCTCTCATCAAGGGGGTCCAGGTTCTACTCCCAGAGCAGAAGCCAGCCCCCAAATACCCTGGTACGGCATGTACACGTATAAAGCCGCTGTCAGGGAAGTTTTAATCATTGCCTTCTCGCCGTGGAGGTGTTGTTTACGAAATCGAGAGGACGAAAAGCGGATACCCGACGCTTAAACCTGGTTGGTGGGTTCGGATGATCCACCTAGGGGATTTGGAAAACCCTGACTCCGAACCATAGTCCATATGGGCTCCAAGATCCTGAGGGGAGAAATGAATTATTAACCTATTCTTGGTCACCAGCTACCATGGGACCACATCCCCTAACGTTGCCCCACTTGTTTGTGGACTAGACCTACAGGTTAAAGGCTTCGGGAGAGGTCCTTTAAGAAAATCGCCTGCTTCGATTTGAGCATCCAAGTAGTACCCTAGCCCACAAAAATCAAATGATAATCAGAACTGTCAAGCTTACTAAACATCACATGCTGAGTCGACAAAATGGAATGTTAATAACACCGGGAAAATAAAACACTAGAAAATAACGGCCCAAAAACATGAGCTGTATAGTCGTTAACCTAGGGTAGTTATGAATCACCATTTTAAACACTTGTTTACCTGATTTGTAGTTGCAAACAGGAAACATTCACTTACTCTCTTTATGTGGAGGTTTCCCACAAAAGGGAGAGAGATTGTAGACTAAACTATTCAACTAGATAATTAAGTACCATCAATTTTCCTTGAACTGTCAAATCCCGACTTTTTAACTGGACAACAGCATCCAAAAGCAACCTTCTTTGACTACTAAATATAGGTCAGTCATAAGTAGAATATGGCGCATATGTGCATCGATCTAAACTGTCACACCATTTCAACGCAGAGATGAAATTATTAAGGCAAATGCTATAGGAGAAACAGTAACAGCTTCAGCGGTAGTGGAAAAGACTAGACATAAACACTGTGATTCTATGACAAAAATGAGAGTTGATACCTAAGGGAAATGACTGTTTCTGGGCCATTGTGCCGATTCTCGATCATGTCCTATTGTATTTTCAACCACTAGTTACGATAATTGCGATTTCACAATCTAGTGCCTAAATACATAGCTCAACACAACACCATTAAATATTACGAGGGAGAAACTCCCGAAACTTTTAAACCAAAGGTTTGGATGCTTTGTGAATTTAATATTTCAGCAGCGTCAAAGTCCATAAAACAATTACGATAACATGAAAAACCAGGGTTAAGAAGCAATCACGTGGCTTTTTGAGATCTAACACTAACTAAAATGCAATTCATTTATTAAATCTTCCAATAAATTTACGTAGTTTTTGCCCTTCCATTTTTGCCAACTTCATTTTGTAGTTAACCATTGAGTTTCCGTTCAATTATATCGTTTAGAGTTACTAAACGGATACTTTCATGTAATTTTAAACCTCATTCAGCTATTCTAGTAACGTGTATGGGACTTGGACTTGTTCCATTCAGATTTTGCATTTTAATATAGATCAAACAAAGAAAAGCTTTATCTGGGTTTCTGAAGACTTTATACACTCGTATTCAACATCCCGGTGACAAACTACAAAAAGCTGATTATTGACTCAAAGTATTTACCTTGTGCCCACATAGGGAGTGTGACATAGATAATCTGCTTCAATCGTGTGAACATAGCACTCCTTAAAGGAGTTTCTAATAACGGTCGTTTGTACTGTTGAACTGAAATACTCATGTAGAGTAAGAATTTGGAGAGAGAAAAATAATGTTTACATCTGCCTACGGTCCCACGTATTGCAAATTAGTCGTAGTGGAATATCATTTCTATTAACTTGGTAATCTCAACCAGATATGTTTCCAGGATAATGTAGCATAAGTGGGTGACGGCTAGGTGTCTGAACACGGAAGAACACTATCTAGATGACTGATTTGAACTTCGCACTTTAATGTCAGATTACAAAGACTGGAACATGCCCGTGTTGTAATATACAAAACTAAACGGAGCACACTTGGATCAGTATGATATTACTTACTTAGAATGGTAAAAAGTTTTTTAAGAAGATTGCTTTGCGATAACATAAATTTACTTTAACATGCAACTGTGAAATACGTAAAACAAAGCTTACTAAGGTTTCTTCGTTATTTTTGTTCCTTTATAGACACCATTATAAACACACACGAAGCAGCCAGGTGGGGTACATATTACGACTTACAATCAATATTATCCAACGAATTTATGTTGACAATATCATGATAAGTTCTGGCAGGTATCTTACGTTACTCTGCATGAACGTTAATGGGGAACTCGTCCACTTTTTCAATAACGGAATCTAGAATAGTTCGTATTCTGCCTTGAATATGAGCTTGACAGACTATTCTTATCAGAATTTGTAAGTGTAACCTCCTTGAACAGTTTATCCAGATTACCAGACTTCAGCCTGGTTCACTAAAAACTGTCTGAAGTACTACTGAATTTTGTTGCAAAGGTTAAGTACTTGACCCATCATCCCAAAATGATGAGAACTTTAGTGTTTTTCAAAAATCAGAATCCGAGGAATAATCATCCCGTTAATTCTACTGAAAAAAACCTAAAGCTTTCCAAAACTACTGATGAAATACAAACAAGCTAAAATCTAAGAAAACTCCTGCTTCGGTTTGGGTACCTGGGCAGTATCCCAGCTTTCACACAAATCGAATGACTTATGTGGCGCATATCTATTTGGTGCCTCCTTGTACCAATGTTTGTGTTTAAATAAATAATAAACTAAGAACAACTAAGAAAACTAGTCAAGACACTAGCAGGTTGCTTATTCATTTATAAGAAAGAGTTAAAAGAGAGTTCTCACCTCACCATTGGCTGCTATTAAACTTCCAATCCAACTAAGTACACTACTTGATTCCGAATTGTCAACGCTCTGTGAGTTGGGCACAGAATTAAGTGTTCGTGGTCTATTGGAACTACCGTTATCCCTGAATAGTTGGCATAATAACATCGACACTTACTGATCTTTAAATCCTTCCCCAAGAACTTCCGGAGTATCACCAGAAGTTAGATTTTCGTCTGAACCAGCTGGTTCAGTTAGATTGCTAAAAATTAATAAATATGAGGACTACATTTTCATAGTTTACTTCACTAGGTCTACAACACCTTTGAGATATCCTTTTAACATGTTCTGATGTATTTTCGCTAGTTTTTCAGTACTAATTAAACTCAACCAATACACTAACGATGTTAGACAGATAGCTCCTTTGAACAGTAAAGTATTAGTGTGCGTTTCAAAAAAGCGCGAATTGACTACTTATTATGCATTAACTTTGCTCTTGTGCATTTATTAGATCAAATGTGAAATTAGACTACTTTAAACTTGAATTATTTCGGTTGACGTTCAGAATTTTCTCCAGGCCCGTCTTGTAGTACTCTGTTTTTTAGTTGGTTCTGACACTAGCGATTAGATTGTACATTTTTGTCGAATTTTTGTGCTTTCAATATATTCACAATGGTCAACAGCATGTAGTGACCCACTTTTATCAAGAGAGCGAGATTGGTGTAATGGAAACAATTATTATTATAACCAATTGTACCAGGGACTGTTTTCACTGTACCTGCTTGTTTAACTGTACCAAAACATACTTTCTTCCATTGAATGTGACCTTGCATGAATTTGGTTATGCTCAGTAACCACACTGGCACACTATGCGTGTTAGTTTACGGGTTTTCGCGCACATGTAACATATTGTCGTGGATTTTATATTTCGTTATTTATCAGCTATTAACAGCCTTTTTTCCATCATACGTGACTTCTCGTAATCTTTGTGATTGGAAGATAGTATTTATTTCAATTTATAAGCAGTTTGACGTATTTTGTGCTCACCACCTAAGTAAACATGCAGTTGGCGTAATATGGTTATTTTTTAATAATACAAGGTCAAACAAGTCAAATCACCATTTTTCTAGTGAAAAATAGAAAACAGATTGACTTTTCATGAAAATAAGCCGTGAAAAGCATCATATATGGTTCACCTCCTTGATTATGGTGACAGCAAACATAGATGTTCGCAGTCGTTTATAAGATGTTATCAGAAAGAAGTAAGCATTAAACTAACTATGGATATTATATAAATTGTTTGTATTTAGCCATAAAAGGTTATTTGCACTAAAGGTAGCATTGTTTGGTATTGAAGTGACATATTATTGTGTAACGTATCAGAGAAAAATTATGTGAGTAAGAATTGGTGTTGATAGTCTTTTTTACCGGCTTTCTGAACGTATACAGGAACAGTGTATAACACCACATTAAACAGGCACAAAATCTTCATAAGTGAAACGATGGCTGTCTCTTCTGAGCATGGTGACAAAACCATGTCGTACTTAATATTGATTCATGATGTGTCTGTTATAGGGTTGACGAATAATTTTCTGTAAACGAAATGCACAGTCTCAGACGAAAATGTGAACAAACTTATGATGCATGTTGTCGAGTAATATCTAAATGGTACTTACCAATTTTTCTTGCTAATACCAGATGTATGTACGAAATAATACAAGGGTTAGACACTGAATAAATTCCCAGTGCTTGTTACGACACAGACTTGAATAAAAAACAACTATTCATGAGTTAATTCATGAATTCCTACTGTATTACAGACTGACTCGTCCGAAGTAATTCATGCAGACAACGGGACGAAAAGTGAATGAGCAATGGAAGCAGAATCACAAGTTCCTTGTATTCATATCTCGTTTATGCCACATTAATGAATAACATTTTCTTCATAATTCAGACCACGCTTCTTTGTTGTGACGAAACTGATTTCAGCAATTTTTAAATAACATTGATTTGTGTGTTGTAAAGATTACCTATTAATTATTATTAAAGGAAATAGAAATCTCTAATGATTAGCGCTGTCTGCAAATAAGAGACTTATAGGTACATTCTGTAACCTGCTATTTGATGTACTTATTGAATGTGATACTTATAACTAGGTCTAATTCTTTATTTCACAACTGATTTGTTTGTTTTTCAGAATTGTATGAATCCAATAAAGTCGTCAAAGGTTTGTGATGTTTACGCCGGTCTACAACTTACAGAATTTGTTAAAAAACGGTTTACATGTTCACGTTAACTGTGTTCCGTATTGCCTAGTAACATTTTTATTCAACTAATGAATTAGTGAAATATAAATATAGCAACTACACTTATTGTCTTACTTTATAAACCGTGTCCGTCTTTATTAATAGTCGATATGACGCTAGAACAAATATAGATATAGAATAATATGAACTCCTTATAATCCATGGAGTGAACAAGTAATAAGATGGATTATGTATTAATTCATTTCACTTTTAAAATTTAGTTGCCGATTTATTCCAGCACCCTGTCACTTACATCTGCTCACTTAATCCTCTGTAATTATGTGACCTCTTCAAATTGTAATAAGTTATTACGTGACCCAAGTTTTCAGTTCTTAAATCCACGGATCACTTATAGGCCATAAGATTTTCACACCACTTATCTGTCTGTGAACTCCAGTCCACTATTACACCACCCATTCTTAATGTGTTATTGACTGTAAAAACAAATGACCTTTGACCTTAAACTGCATATATATATATATATATCTAGTCATTATTGATAACCCACGTCATTTCAATTATTCATATTAAGGTATGTCAACTGTTTCCCACATCACTGTTAAATCCTAATGCATATTTAGTTATAACGAATGCATACCACTGTTAATCAACATTTATCCTGGTTTCATTTTAATTCATAAGCGGAACTAATCACATGGAATTAAAATCTTAGCTACTGATACGATTTTAATTATAAACGTAATCCGACGAAGGAGAATATGATATGTGGGTGCCTAATCTGCAAGATTGTACGTGGATGTAGGGTTTCTGAATCATTCTTAATTATTACAAACAGTTACACATGAACGTCATTGCTATTTATTCCCATGAAACTAGGAATAAGATGAAAATTAAAATTATGACAGTTTATTGAATAATCATTGCTGCTAAAGCAGAAAATCAAGTTTACAAGTTAGTATTAAGAATTTTTAAGTAATAATTGTCCACCTTCTTCTCAACTTCCGTTGCGAAACGTTCACCATACTTCTCAATGATGCGTTGCTTATGGATTCTTTGACTTCGTTGAATACTTATATACACTTCACTCCGTCGTGTTAATGCAGTTAATGTATAATTTTGGAAGTTCTGGGTATTATGTAACTTCCATCTGCTACAATACCTAAGAAGTTGATGAGCTATGCAGTTAGTATTTCATAATTGATATAGCTTACCTGTAAGATTTCGTCTTTTAACGTAGGCAAGTAGCATGTGACGGCAGGGATATCGGCACATCATAAACGTGCTACAATTGCATTGACAAATGCTTATATCAACTTCATAATGTTGTCCGCGATCAACCATAAACAACCAATCACCGCTTTCATATTCCACGTAGACAAAACGCATTTGTTTAAGTTCGTATAACAATTTAGATCTAGCGAATGGGGTCAAAATGTTTAGCAGGGGTGTAAGACGCTGTGGAGCATCTGCTGACTCACAGTGAAGTATTACGGGCTTCAAGTTCTCTTTTTCTTCTGACGATAATCTCCTTGTCAATGGATCACATACCATCCATGAACTACTACATGGATGATTGTGGAGCATGTTGTAGGATTTGATGACATATCCTTGCTCCTCTAGTCTTACACGAAATTTAGATCGACAATTACGGAATTTAGACCTTAAACATAAGATATTAGTTACAGATCTTACGATTTTTGCCTCACTTTCAAACCTTCCGATTTCCGCTGATGACCAAACGTACAATTAAACGATACAAACAGGTATTTGAACCTGACATCCTTCAGCAATCTGCTTTCTGTGTGGATGTAACGAGTATAAGTAGTCTGAGAAGCGATAAAACTATAATTCCATACTTTTTGGAACTCTTTTAAGGCGCTTTCAAAATCATCCCACAAGACGAAACGCTTGTTCAGTATCATACTTCGAAAGGCATCGGTTAGGTCGACTGAAATGTCACTTGAGCATGAAGCACTAAAAACAGAAATGACTAATTATTAAAAGGTTATTCCTTGCGACAATAATAACCCAAGAAAATACTACAAATACTTAGGATTTACCTGTGACTTGACATTTCGTTGAGCTTTACTACAGTTGTTGGGATCAAAGATCAAATTACAAAGCAACAACAGAGCCAACGTGTACACTACAAAACAGAGAACGCTAAATTAATGGTTTTGGTATTTATTTCGTGCTTTTTTATGTAGCATAACATGACTTATATATGAAAAAACTTGGTACTCATGCAATCCAACCAACCCACGGCAATTGAAATACGGAATGACCGCCTCTAATCAAGCCGTTCAAGGTCGTTGAAACGAAAGGGCGGGCACATTTCAAAAGGACCTAACGTTTAAACCTTGCCACCACACTTGTAACCTAGCATGATCTCAGTATTCTTTCGATTCCACTAGATCGCCAACAAATAGATCTCGACTACAGCCATCAACTGCCTTCTGATATTTGGCTTACGGGGGATCTTATCGGTTAACTGGCACGTAGTCTTCCTGCAGTGGAGATCATTGTCAATCACGACCGACCAGACGCCACACTACAAGTACTTATAAATGGAGACAGTGAAACTGTTTTACCCCCTAGATGACGGAACGCAATGTGATGGGTGCAAAATCGGTCCCATATGAGGTGTACTCGCATAAGTCCCAACGCACATAAAACATGTTCAAAGTCTAGTAGCGGTAAATAAATCCCCAAAATAAATAGCTCTAAGTTTTCGACATTGGATGCTGACCATATGTTTTAGTGGACTCATCTAGCTGAAGGCGCTCGGTCATGCATCCGCACCAGATCACGTGTGGTAACGCCGTGCTCAACATCTACCGCAATCGCTAGCCAGATTAGATCAGAGAATTCCGATATATTGGTAATCGCCAAATACACTCTTCCGATCTCCTCGACTCTGTCTTTTGATTTCTCTGGGTGGGAACGAAATACATTTGAAGGTGTTACTGGTAGAAGCGTTGTCAAACACTGAATACCTGTGACATCATCACTGGTGAGCCCGACGTGATCTGGTACACCTAATTACAACTGTGAGTCTGTTCCTGTTTGGGATTTTTATATATCATTGCTTTATTTTTTATTTTTTAAACAATGTGATTTTTTTCGTGTTTTTTCTTGGATATATACATATTTTCCCCTTGTTCATTATCGTACTTCATACTTCATCATGACTGAACAGAC